GTCCCCAGCACCAGCTTTGAACCGGCTCGGCCCTGCAGGGCACCCCCCTCCCGAGCATCGTCTCCGCGCCTGTGGAACAGGTTCCACGACCGACCGTGCAGGGCCCCCCCACATGGCCCTCGGGGAGTCCGTACCTGGCCCCCCGGCCCAGCGGGGTCATGATGGGGGAGGGGGGAGGAGGGCGCAGCCTCGACCCCGAAAGGCAGGGACAACCCCACGCAGAGGAGAAAATGGTCTTCGCACTGGGGACAGGGTCAGTCTCCAAACTGCCGGGGCGCCCTGCTGGCTGGGAGGTGGGGGTGCCTGGGGCGCCCCGTGCCCGGGCAGCCCCAAAGCGCCGGGCAGGTCGGCCGGGGGCGCTTGGGCGAGAGCCTGGGGAGCGTGAGGTCCCACGGGCTGCAGGGCGTGGCCAGGGCCCCACACCGTCCAGGTCTGGACGCTCCCAGTGGCCTTCACAGCCGCGGGCTCAGGAAGGCGGCGGGAGGAGGAGGAGGAGGAAGCCACGCTCCCAGGACAAGCGGCCATGGCGAGCCACGGCCGCGATGCAGGTGTCACTCCAGGGAGACACAGCAGGCCCCACGGGTGGGCGGGACAAGCCCAGAGCTTCCCGTTCAAGTCCAGGAGGTGGCCCGAGAACCTGCATTTCCTCTCTCCCCGATCCCTCTCTCCCTCTTCCTTCCTTCCTTCCTTCCCTCCCCCCTTCCTTTCTCTCTCTCTCTCTCTCTCTCTCTTTTTGAGCTGGAATCTCACCCTGTCGCCCAGACAGGAGTGCAGCGGCCGCTCCCGGCCACCGCAGCCTCGGCCCGCTGGGTTCCGGCGGTCCTTCCGCCTCAGCCTTCTGAGTAGCTGGAACTACAGGAGTGCGCTACCACGCCCAGCTGATGTTTTGAATTATTGTAGAGATGAGGTCTGGACAAGTTGCCCAGGCGGGTCACGCACCGGCGGGCTCAGGACATCCACTCGCCTCAGCCTCCCAAAGCGCGGGATGACAGGCTGAGCCACCGAGCCCGGCTCAAATGAGCCTCTTGCGTGTTTCACAGCTGGGACTGTCTTTGTCAAGGCCAGAGCCTCGCGGAGACCCCAGGAGGCTGCGCCCCACCCGGTCTCTGGGGCTCACGCTGGGTGGCTCTGGCCCGGCCACCAGCCTGTCACGGAGCGTGGGACGCCTACTTTTGCCTTTAGATAGAGACTCCCCTGGCACGGCGGCTGCCCTGTCGCCAGGTGAAGTCGGGATGGCCAGGGTGCGAGGTGCGGCCACCGAGGCTTCTTCCCCCAGGACAGCTGCCCCCGGCCTCAAGAACACGCGTGTGGTGGCGGGAGGGGGGCCTGGCTACGGTGGGGTGCGGTCTGTCCGCGATTCCTCTCGGGTCGCCTGGGACGCGTGGGACACTCTGGGTTGGGGCTTATTCGACAGCAAGGCAGGCTGGGCTTTTCTCCGGTTCACGGGGAGGGGTCTTCCTGGCTGCGGGGGGCTGCCGCTTCTCGCCACGTCCCTCACGCCCAGCAGCCCGCCGACCCCCAGCCCCCCGAGTCTGCACCTGGGGGCTCCCGTGTCCTGGGTGTCTTGGCCTCGTCCACGCCCGTGTCTGACTCCTCGCCACC